GTGTTTGTGGTTGTGGTTGTGTGTTTGTGGTTGTGTTTGTGTTTGTGGTTGTGTTTGTGGTTGCGTGTTTGTGGTGGTGTAATTGTGGTTGTGTGTTTGTGGTTGTGTGTTTGTGGCTGTGCGTTTGTGGTTGCGTGTTTGTTGTTCTGTGTTTGTTGTTGTGCGTTTGTGATTGTCCGTTTGTTGTTGTGTTTTTGGTTGTGTGTTGTGGTTGTGTGTTTGTGGTTGTGTGTTTGTGGTCGTGTGTTTGTGGTCGTGCGTTTGTGGTTGTGTGTTTGTGGTTGTGTGTTTGTTGTTGTGTGTTTGTGGTTGTGTGCTGTGGTTGTGTGTTTGTGGTTTTGTGTGTGGCTGTGTTTGTGGTTGTGTGTTTGTGATTGTATGTTTGTAGTTGTGTGTTTGTGGTTGTGTCTTTGTGGTTCTGTGTTTGTGGATGTGTTTGTGGTTGTGTGTTTGTGGTTGTGGTTGTGTGTTTGTGGTTGTGTCTTTGTGGTTGTGTGTTTGTGGTTGTGTTTGTGGTTGTGCGTTTGTTGTTGTGTGTTTGTGGTTGTGCGATTGTGATTGTGTGTTTGTTGCTGTGTTTGTGGTTGTGTGCTGTGGTTGTGTGTGTGGTAGTGTGTTTGTGGTCGTGTGTTTGTGGTCGTGTGTTTGTGGTTGTGTGTTTGTGGTTGTGAGTTTGTTGTTGTGTGTTTGTTGTTGTGTGTTTGTGGATGTGTGTTTGTGGATGTGTGTTTGTGGTTGTGTTTGTAGTTGTGCGTTTGTGATTGTGTTTGTGTGATCGTGTGTTTCTGGTTGTGCTTGTGGTTGTGTTTGTGGTTGTGTGTTCGTGGTTGTGTTTGTAGTTATGTGTTTGTGATTGTGTGTTTGTGATTGTGTGTTTCTGTTTGTGTTTGTGGTTGTGTGTTTGTGGTTATGTGTTTGGGGTTGTGTGTTTGTTGTTGAGTTTTTAATTGTGTGTTTGTGGTTGTGTGCTGTGGTTGAGGCCCGGCAGGAACACTGGGCGTGGATGATCGTGCTTGAGGTCCGGCAGGGAACACTGGGCGTGGAAGGTCGTGGTTGAGGTCTGGCAGGGAACACTGGGCGTGGATGGTCGTGGTTGAGGCCCGGCAGGGAACACTGGGTGTGGATGGTCGTGGTTGAGGTTCGGCCGAGGAGGCGGGGGAGGAGAAGGGGAAGGAGGAGAAGGAGAAGGAGAAGAAGGAGGAAATGGGGCTGACATAAAATCTAACAACCCTCACCTGACAGGTGGGGAACAATGCACTTTACAACGACAACCAGCAACAAAACAACAAACCAAAACAACCAAAGAAGACATTGAAGAGAATGTTTGGCTCAGCCCAAAACGATGTTTTTTGTTTTCATTGTTTTTTGTGTTGAAATACAAAAACCAAAAACCATTGTGATTTTGGTTTGCTCACGGTTTATAATTAAAGAATGCTGGCTACAACCAAAGACAAGTTTTTGTTGTTGATGATTTTGCTATGGGCAAAACAAAAAGCAATAGTTAAAACCCATACACCGTCTGATTTTTTTGGTTTTTGGCACTATTCTAGTACAATAATCCTGCAAAAACACAAAGACGAGCTTTTTGGCTTTTGGATTTCATAACCAAAAGTCACAATAAAAACACAAAACATCATTTGATGCCGAACCAAACAGTTAAACACGAATTGATAGGCGTTCAAAAAAAAAAGCCTTTGATGATAAATCTGTTGAACTTTAATGTACTTACTATTTAAGCCTAACTTGATTCAACATTTTTAATTGCAAATTCCAAAATGAACCTGATTGACTTCAAAAAGGAATCTTTTGGTTTCTAACTGAAGTTTAGTTTCAATCTCGATTTTGATCTGTTTTATTCAGCTTAATTGAATTTTGCATTCAATTCTAATTTAGTACAATTGTAAATGTCATTTAGTTTTTGGTTCTCACGCAAGTCTAATCCTAATTCATGATCACAGTAACTGACTTCTTTCTAATTGAGCTGCAGGTTAAGCAGTTCTATTTTAGTTATACCTTAATTCTTTTCCAATTCTACATGAAACAATGAATTTTTAAATTCAATTTTGATATAATTCCAAATCGAACAAAATAAATATAATTTGCTTTTAACCAATCTCGAAGTTGCTTCTAATTTACAGGGTTGCATGTCATTTTTAAATATGGTTGATAGTTCAACATATTTTGTAATTAACTTGTCGTTTCCGCTAGTTTAAATCTTATGCAACAATTCACTTGCAGTTGTTTACAAACCTAGTTTAATTATGTGTTCACATTTCTTCATTACTTCTATTTCAGTTTTTAATTCGTCTATAGTTCAATGCCAAGTTCTATTTCAATGCAACTTGAATTCTCATTTAAGTTTGACTTTATTCTAGAGAGGCGGTTTTGCTGGGGGTGTGGTTTTAAGAAAACTACCTTTAAGAAAGCAACACGTAAAATATATACAACGCTTTAGTTTTAAAAACAGCAAGCACTCTCCAGAAGCAAATTGGAAGTGCGTACTAACCCACCTGATTAAAATTGGATTAGGTTTTAGATTTCAAACAATGTAAACAATTCAAGCAAGTTAAAAATAGTTCAACTAAAATTCAAACAAGCATATGTAAAAACCGTTTGAGGTCAAACTAGAACAAACTATGAACAAACATGTCACTATGCCTATTTTACAACAATTATTGTAGAAAACAAAAGACAAACTAGGTTCATTTTAAGCATACTTGGTTTTTTAAAATCAAACCAATTACGAAAAGATTAAAGCAAAACAACGGCATAAATTTATGGGCTCTGCAGTTTTGATATTACGGTATTGTGGGTAACCAAAACTGCACACCCCTATGTCTCCAAAGTGGCTCAGGCCAGGGCTATTTTGGTATGTTGGTTTTAGAGTGAAAACCAACGTACCAAAGGACCAAAGCTGCGCAGATCTATGTCCCCAGAGTGGCTGAGGTCAAGCCATGGGGTTTGTGCAGTTTGTGAAATTTTGTCTTTTTGTGTTTGAGAGAATGTCCCCCCCTCTTAAAAGCACCAAAGGACAGCGTGGGCAAACTGGCCTACTATTTCGCGGCGGCCGGCCAAGTAGTAGTAGTGGTGGTGGTGGTGGTGGTGGTGGTGGTAGTGGTAAACTAGTAAAGTAGTAAAGTAAAAAAAAGTAGTAGTAGTAGTAGTCGTCGTCGTAGTAGTAGTAGGAGCAGTAGTAGTAGTAAAGTAGTAGTAAAGTAGTATTAGTAAAGTAGTAGTCGTAGTCGTAGTCGTAGTCGTAGTCGTAGTAGTAGTAGTGGTAGTGGTAGTAGTAGTAGTAGTAGTAGTAGCAGTAGCAGTAGTAGCAGAAGTGGTAGTAGTAGTAGCAGAAGTAGTCGTAGTAGTAGTAGTCGTCGTCGTAGTAGCAGTAGTAGTAGTAGTGGTAGTGGTGGTGGTGTGGTCGTAGTAGTAGCAGGAGGAGTGGTGGTAGCCTTAGTAGTTGTTGTAGTTGAAGTAGAAATAGAAGTGGAAGTAGCAGTAGTAGTAGTCGTCGTCGTAGTACTCTTAGTAGCAGGAGTAGTAGTAGTAGTAGTAGTAGTAGTAGTAATCGTAGTGGTGGTAGTAGTAGTAGTAGTGGCAGTAGCAGTAGTAGTAGTAGTAGTAGTAGTGGTAGTAGTAGTAGTAGAAGTAGTGGAAGTAGTGGTAGTAGTAGTAGTAGCAGTAGCAGCAGCAGTAGTAGTAGAAGTAGTAGAAGTAGTAGTGGGGGTTGACTCGGCGGCAGAAACTGTGGCCGGCCGGCCAGCCCGCACCGGGATCGGCCGGCTGGCCGGTCTGGACCGGGACCGGCCGGCCGGCCGAAGAAAAGTAGAGGAGGAGGAGTAGTAGTAGTAGTAGCAGTAGTAGTTGTTGTAGTCTTAGTAGTACTTGAAGTAGAAGTATTAGTGGCGGTAGTAGTAGTAGTAGTAGTAGTAGTAGTAGTAGTCAGTAGTAGTAGTCGTCGTCGTCGTCGTCCTAGTAGTAGTAGTAGTAGTAGTAGTAGATAGTAGTAGTATCAGCTTGTCGGTCGGCTGACTGTGGTTACTTGAGGCCAAGGGGGGGCGAAAGCTAGCGCTCCAGAATGGGAAAGTGGAGGGCAGCGAGGTAGGAAAAAACACGGCGCTCTTTTTGGAGGCAGGGGTGAGGAGTCCTTTATATGAATATAAATTATATGTGGCTCTTTGCCCGGATCCTCCTGCGAGAGAAGAGAGAGAAGAGAGACGGAAAGACGAGAGACAGAGAGGAGAGAGAGAGAGAGAGGAGAGAGAGATGAGAGAGATGAGAAAGAGATGAGAGAGATGAGAGAGATGAGAGAGACAGTGAGACAGTGAGAGAGAGAGAGTGAGCGAGTGCGGCCGCAAGATACGCAACGCTAACCGCATGCCAAAGAGCGACGACAGGACGGAGTCGAACTTGCGAAGAGGGAGGAGGGAGGGAGGGAGGGAAGATGGGAGGAAGACAAGGAGGAGGAGAGGGGAGGTGGGGAGACCTGAAAAATCAGGGGTTAGGATTTGCACCCGGTCGAAAGAAACCTTGCTATCGCAAGAGTAACTCCAGCTAGCTTCGCTAGCTTTCGTGATTGGCCCGCCGGCCGGCCGGCCGACGCTGTAGCTTTTGGCCGGCCGACGCCATGGTTCTTGGCCGGCCGGCCGGCTGATCGAGAAATAGCGGGCCGCCATAAGCTCGCAGTGAAAGTTCGACAGTTCCAAAGTTCCAAAACTGCAGACCCCATGACCTGACCATAGCCACTCT